GAAAGGTCCTCATGTCCCCAGGACAAAATTAGAACGCCTTCAGCGCACAGCTGAAGAATTGAAACTGCGCCGGGGGAGGATAGTGCAAGAGGGTGACATAAAAATTAATTACGGTCCTACATCGAGACTAAAAAGTCTGCAGCGCAAGGTCGCAGAATTGCAGAAGCTTAAGAAAACCGTCGGGGAAGTGATTGAGTGCCAGGAAGAAGAGCAGAGAGGCCCTTCTGTTCCGATTTCAATTTTATTGCGTCGCTACGAGGCCCTGTTCGAATCATTCATGATTCTAGCAAAATTGAATTCCTCTCGGGGGTGAGTAAATCTAAATATTGTAATATTTTATTTATTAATCTTAGGGCATCTATCGAGTTAGTAATATTTAAAGTTAAATAAAAATTCTAACAAAAGTTCTCACAAGAATTCAATCATCATTTTTTTTTTGATAGATTCTTTAGTTCTTCACAATTATACATTTCTGTGTTCAAATAACTGAATTTGAATTAAACCTTTCAAGAAGAACTAATTTATGATAAACTAAATTTTGAAAAATTATTCAATTGAAACCGTTGAAATTTTAATTATTGTTAAATTGTAATAGCATTTAAAATTTTTTAATTAAATGTTTTTTTTTTTATTTTGAAAGATAAAAATAAAATTATTTTGATACCCCCTTTTTTTTCCTTTTAATTAGTATTGGTTTTGATTTTCGTGTTTTCTTTAATTAAATTGAATTTGTATCTGGATAATGTGATTCTGCGAGGCGTCCTGAGTTTGTTTAAAGAATGTCTATAGACTGAATTGGGAAAATATAATGGGGTAGTGCATAGTGGTCAGAGTGTGTTGCTGTACTTAATGGTATCCCTTTTTAGCTTTTTGGTTAGATATGGGCCCTGGATGCCTGCCCCCATTAGGGATAATGCGAACGTTGTTTGGTTCCGTTACAAGGAATTGGTCAAAGATAGTTATCCCAAACTGTACTCGCGATCCCGATGGTATCAGGAGTATAGCTGGGATGAATTGGGTCAGCAATACATGTACCGGGGCTTCTGGGCTACGGTAAGAACTAGAATCGCTCTTTTGCAGTGTTATTTGTTTTTTTTTTGTTTTGTTTTTTTTTTGTTTTTGAAAGTAAAGAAAATTGTTTTTTTCTTTTAGCGTTGTTATGCCAGTTTTGCAGAACTGACCATAGGACACGAGTTTACGAAGATTTTACAAGGGGGGTGGCAAGGTGACGGCCGCAATACCCTGTGGCAAGTATTCATTCATTACTATATCAATATTTTTATGAAATTCTTAAGTAGTTCAATGTTGGTTAGTTGAAAATTGCGGGATCGAATTTGATTAAAGAAAATTGTTAGACTAGAATTATGATTTCTCTCGGATCCTAGAAATGCTTTATTCATTCTATAATGATCTAAAAATACCAAGATTCATTTCCAAATAAGTTTCTTTAATTTTAAATTTTATTTGTGTATATAAAAAGGTGTTATTTAAGAATGTCCTTCTCTCCCTTTTTTTAGCTTACTAAGTTCCCTACCTGAGGTGCCTCCGCAAGTGGGATTTCAACCACTTGATAAGACATTAAAATTGACCTTCCTCCAAACATTCTTTTGGGACCAGGATGGCGTTCCGAAGGGGTATAACCGATGGGTTCTGGTAAGTTAGCATAATAGTTGTGATAGATTCATCGTTTAGCATTTACGGAATACAAAAAAAATTTTTTTTTTCTTTTTCTTTTTAGTCGTTTAACGTTGAGGTAGAAGAAGAGTGGAGAGAGATTGGTACGCTGGGCCTCCTTCGTAAGGGAAATTGGAGCCGAGGAGGGGACGATTAATCGTGAGGGCGGTCCAATAACCATATATATATCCATCAAGAAGCGGACAATATTTTGTATACCTATATATATATTTTTTTGTACTTTGTTCTTAAGTTTTCTCCTTCAAGCAGTTCTCTCCAAAGGACATGTCTTTATTGCGTATAAATTAGTTATTATTATTCTTAGTTTTAATAAATTCTTAATCGACTAAAAAATTTTTTTTTTACTATGATTAGTCTTCCAGAGATTTTTGAGATCCTAATTTGAAATGAATGTTTTTGTTGAAATTACATTAAACTAAAATTATGTTCAACCAGGTTGCAGAATAAAATAATACCTTATTAGCAAATTATCTGCATTCATTTGTTTGTTTTGAAAATTAATCAAAAAAAAATTTTTTTCTCCTTTTTTTTTTTTATTCACTTCACAAAATTGGAAAAAATTCCATTCCATTATCCATATTTTATTTTGCTGACTTTTCCTAATTTTCATAAAAAATAATTTTTCCTTATCCTTTCAACAAATTGAATTTCTGCAACGAATTTTATTATTCTTCAAAGAATTTTAATATTATTTACAAAATTGAATTGAATTCTTACAATAACTTTTACCAACCATTTTTAAGTAATTGAATTCTTCATAAGAACCTTATGAATATTGTTCCAAATAATTAATTCCTTTCGAAATACAACAAATATTACGAAAGCTTTATTAATTTAAATAATTCAATCCAGTGGAAAACTATGTTTGTGAAAATAACTGAAATTTTTTTTTTTTTATTAATTTAAAATAGTATTAAAATAATTGAAATCATTCGATAAGTTTTATTAAAATTCGTCAAAGAAATTCAATCACCTTAATAACCTTTGCTACAATTTATTTATTAGAATTTTAATATTATTTTTAATAAATTTTTTTTTTTTTTTTTTTAATTAAACTTCTTCAAAGAATAAAATTATTGCATTCAAAAAATTTTTTTTAATGCCGTTCTTTGCGTAAATTATCAATTAACTTTACAATTAATAAAATTCTTCTCTAAAATTGAATTATTTAAAAAAAAAAATGTAATAAATTTCTTGGCAAAACTTCAATCATTTTCAAAAATTTTCCCTAATTTAATTATTTTTAATATCTACTATTTTAATAAAATTTTGCAAAAGATTTCAAATCATTTGAAAATTGATTAAAAATTCTTTAAAAGAATTCAATCTTAAGGAACATATGTAATTATTCAATAAATTTTCAAAAAAATTTTTTTTTTTTTTTTTTTTCAAATAACCAAATTCTCGTAGAATTTTCCCATAAAAATTGATTCAAAAATGGATTTCAGTCAAAACTCTAGATTATAATTGAATTTTAAAAGTATTGGAGCGTAAAGTTTTAGAAATAATTAAATTGATTCAAAAAAGTTTCAGATTCAAATCTTTGAAAATTTGAATTTTTCATATTTTTAACTAACAATTCTGTGAAATTAAATTTTTTGGAAATTTTAATTGCGGATTTTTTTTTATTATTTGAAGTTTTTATTTTTCTAATACATATTTAATTGAAGAATTTACAAATAATTAAAATTTCGTAAAAATGAATATTGTAAAGAAATTTAAGAAGAATCTTAGTTAAAAATTCTTGAAAACAATAATTGAATTGATAATAATTTTATCACTCTATTTTTAATTTATTATAAAACATGAAGTAATCGATCGCTCCGAGTCGAAGACTCGGAGTTATCGACATCCTCACGTTTTTTTTTGTTATGAAAAAAAAAATTTAATTTATAGTTTTAACTAAAATGTTCTCTTATGTATTTTGTCAGTAATTGGTCCGTAATTTTTTTAAATACTTTCACTGGTCCGAGCCCTGTTTTTTATTGATCACGATTTGTATAAGAATTGATTTATAATTCGTAGTTTTCAACTTGGGATTTTTAATTAAGATTCGTGCATATATACTTGAAATATTATTTTAATTTTCAGGTAAGCTCAAAATAAATTTATTGGCAAAATGAATGCATTAATTATAAATTTTTTTTTAGTTTCCAAAATCAACACTTTGTGACAAACGAAAGTTGTTAAGAAATTTTAAATCCATTTTTGGACAATTATGTACAAAATTTCTATTTATTAAAACTATATTTATCGACATAGCAAAGACAATTAAATAAAACAATTCAAGTTATGAGAGAACCCCTTTTTTTTTTTTAATAATAATATTTGTTAGAATTTCATTATTGATAGTGAAGGTTTGACGGTTATAAGCGAATTTAATAATTTAGAATGCTCATAGGATTTATAAATGAAAATCCTTCAATTGCACCAGATATAGGATACAATTAAAGAAAATGTGTAATTTCAATTATCCAAATAGAACGGATATGTAAACGAATTATTAATTTAAAACAAAATAGTATTTGAACTAAGTAAGAGTCTAGTTGGTTTTGAGACAGTTAAAAATTGTTGTTGTTGTTTATTTTAAATAAAATTCATTTAATTTAATTAAATCATTTTCTGGGTGCAGCAGACATTTGCAAGTTTTATAGTTGCAAACAAAATTCGTTCTCAGATTAAAATTCTGTTTAAATTTGCTTAAACATTTCATAGGTACAAAGGAGCTCGGAGAAATGGTGTTCTCATCGCTTGCCTTGTAACTATTTTGAGCTTATTAGCTTTTGGTAAACAAATCATAGATATGTGAAAATTCGACTTAGTTTCGAAAGAATATATTTCTTCTTAGAAATCTGCGTCGTTTGAATAAGAGAATTCTTAACGGAGGGTTATGGAGAGTTAAACTCGAGGAGAGGAAAATATTTTTCTCCACTTATAATTTTGTTGTCGCCCGCCGGTCGTTATTGGTGTGTTAGGATTTAGATAAATTTTTATGACGGTCGGAGTGTTGAATGACGCCGAGAGTAACCTGACACTACCTTGTGTATACTTAGCTCGCAGCCATCAAATATTGGAGGCAATGCTGCCACACGATTTTCTTTTTTTTTTAATATTCTCAATTTTCATAAGGGAATAATTGGAAAACAGTTTCGTTCGTATATATAAAAAAAATTCCTCCCCTTTTTTTTTTAATTGTTTTAAAGATCTAAAATAGAAAGAGGGTACAAAAATAAAACAATATTTATAAATATTTTTGTCTATCAAGTTTTTTTAAATTTGACTTTAAATAATATTAATATTTTTTCTTTTCTCTTTTTTTTTTTTTTTTTTTTTTAATAACCGAGCCTTTTAATTGTAAATTGTTCCTTAGAGCTGTAGCTACAACTTTTTCTGTATGGTTAATTTTCACAGAAATCGTTAGAAGTGCCTCAAAATTGGCTTTGAAGTTGATCATTCCGAAAATTGACTTTAGTGGTATCAATAGTAAAATTTTGCTTTTCTTAGCCCTTTCTCTTCCTGTAAACTCAACCAAGCTTATTGCAAGATTAAAATAATGTGTAACTTTTGGTTTATTCTTATTATTATGACTATTTTCTCTCTTTTAGGGTTTTGTGGCCCATGGCCGAAAGCCTTATAATTTCACTTTGGCGTCCGTCCGTCCGTCCGTCCGTCTGTCGTAAATTGGGGCGCTATAGATCCCAAATTTGGGGTACTATAGATCCCAAATCAGTTAGTCAGTCACTCAGTCAGTCAGTCAGTCTTAACCACAATGGTTTATGATAACCAAAACAGGGTTCGTGAATGCCTGCTTTTTTTTTTTTTTTTTTTTTTTTTTTTTTTTCACAAATATATTATCTATAATAAAATATCTATAAAGACAAAGTATAAATAAAATAAAATATAAAATAAATTAATACAAAATATTTTATACCTATACAGATAATTTCAGTATTGAATTGCAATTACAAAATGATAGTCAAATTCAAATTTTAAATGAAGATACCATGGATTTAATCAACTTGTTAATTGGTGGAGAATGAATTTATAGAAATTAATTAAACATCCATAGTTTCCTTTTTTAAATTTTTAATTTTCTTTTTAAATGCCACGAAACCCTAGATGTAGGCGTTTTGCGCTTGCTTCTCTTCCAAATTTTTTTTTTTTAACATTTACTCATACGCAGGTATTTTCAAAAATGAGTGGCAGAGTAACCAGATCCCAACAATTGCCGTTAGCAGAAGGATTACGCTTTTCCAAACATCCGTGCACTACCGATGAACGGCCTGACCTGAGGGGTCTATATGGTCAGTTGGATCAAAACTATTTTGATGGAGGACTAGCAGCTGCGGGGTATACAATAGGTTGGGGGCGGAGGATGAAAAAGACCTCTGGGTACACTGACCTACCCCTACGCATAGTTCGGATTAGTTGGGAAATCCATAGGCTTCTTCCTGAAAAAGAACTGATCGGAACATTACTTCACGAGATGATTCATGTCAAGCTGTTTCATCATAGGAATGATGCCGATAGTTTCAGTCACAAGGGCGAATTTAAAAAGGAGATGAGGCGCATTAACAAAATTGGGCCCTACCGGGTATGTTATTAATTACCCAAATTGTTTCCAGAATTTTGTTAAAGGTTTTTAGGTATTAAACATGCATAAAATTTCCCTTTTCTTTTTTTTTTTTAGGTAGTCATTCATCACAATCTTCCGCGGAAAGTACTCTACCAATTGCGTCCGTACGTGTGGAAATGCAGGAGTGCATTGTGAATATACAAACGAATAAAAGAACTAACGCATAATTAATGATTATTATTTAGATGGCCTATTAAGAAATCTTCTAAATATATATTTTATAAAGTGATCAATTTATCTGATATAATTAAAGTTTAAAAAAAAAATTTTATTATATAATAAATAATTCCATTAAACTATTTTCTTTTATAAAGAAATAAAAGTCTTAATATTGAATTTATATCAGGCATAAAAATTTTTCTTTTTTTTTTTTCTTTTTTTTTTTGAAAATAGTATCCGAATTAAAGAATATATATATATATATAGGTAAATTAAAAAAAAAACTCTCTCTCTATATGTGTTTTCTTATTATGATGGACCTGCGGAATCAGGTTATTTTGGGTGGCGATTTTTGAACGCCTGTTGGGGTCGTTGTAAGCACTAACCTCTTTGAGTCGAAGATCTTCCGTGTTGTCTTGCGGGGTTGTATTTGGCGAGAACTACTGGCGAAAAAGTCGTTGATGATTCCTTCCCAATGTAGTCCTCCTCTACCTGAATCCCTCGCAGCTTGGAACCTAACCCTTCGGTTAGTCATCTGATCTTCACTGATGGTTTATCTTCGGACGTTGCAGACTTTATCTCCTTCTTTGGAGTAGTTGTTGGTTGGGTCAAAGTTGTGCTTGCTGGTACGGTCACCTCTTTGTTAGCAGCGGTTTTACTTGTAGAAGGGATATCCTCGTATAATCCAGCAATATCCTCGGGTGTTGGAGTTTTAGTTAACGGTTTCCTTCGCTGTGGCGTTTGAAGATTCTCATCTCTTTGCCTTGAGAAAATTGATTGAGACAGTTTATATGTCCCAGTTTTCAGTGGTGATCGACACAAGTACATAAGCAAAAATGCACATAGGAGAATAATGCCTCCATATGATCCGTAAATCAAGGTCGAGTGTCTTCCTTGATTATGTTGTTGTAAGGCGAACTCTTGAAGTTGTTGTTCTAGTTCGTCTAGGGTTTTGGAATTCAACTTGAATGCTGACAACTGCGGGTTAATCTCGAGGATGGACTTCGTTAGGACTCTGGTGTTTTCAAGCAGGTGATTATATTTTAGTAGTGTTGGGGATAGTTTTGTTAAGTTTAGATGTAGATCCAATTCAAAAATAAACTCTGATTGACCAGCTTGTGAGGTGGTTGCTGGAATTATGGCGTCTTTGGTTTTGAGGGAGCACCCTGGACCCAATTTAAGGATCCCAACTTCACTCAGCATGATCTTGATTGGACTCATGGAATGGCATGCTATTGTCGCTTTTTCTGGTGCAGCAAAGGAATAGATCCATCCGCCTATGGTGGTCAAAGGTTTCCAGTAAGACTTGGATTCGCTGGTTACTCTGACATCGCATAACCTTAAAGCTTCCACGTTGGGCTTGATCAATAATAAGGCTTCACAGGACGCTCGTTCACGGAGATCGTAGATTGGGGCGCCTTGAAGGCAGGCGTGAAAAGATGTTGTTGTTTTACACAAATTCCATTCCTGCTCCTTTAACAAGAGGTATGTTCGTTGATCCTCGTCAATAATAAGGTAATCGTATGCAGATGTTATATATGCTCTTCCGGTACCATTCTCGAGCATTTCTTGAGTGGTCGGGAGTGAGTGTAATTTGAAGGCTTGATAATTATATTTTTCTAGGAGTGGTATGTCGATGAGGACCTTAAGTTGATGATTTTCGCACAAGATGGTGATGGTGGAGATACGCATCAGTTCGTCGATGCTGATCCTAGGCCCGGTCAATGGAAACTGAACATCCTTGAGGTTGTCCTGCACTTCTCGCAGAATTGGTTCCAGTTGTTCTGATGTTATGAGGCCGGGGTGTAGATATCCTTTCCTGGCTTCATGAACTGCTTCTAACATAGTGGTAGTGGCCTGCATGTTGTGATCGAGGCCCAATCTTAATGCCTTGGCGATGGCATATGTTAGATTTCTTCTCTCCATTTCAGCCTTCGACTTAGTACTTCCTACGGCAGTCAGGACTTGGAGTTGTTCCTGCAGTTCCTTCAGTAAAGATCCATGTTGTTGCACCTGGGAGTGCAGCGAATCGAGTTGTGATCTCACTACGTGGGTTTGTTTTCCCACCAGGTGTGACAAGTTGGCCTGGGCTTCATTGAGATCTTGAATGGCAGCACTATATTTTTCTCCGTCGTCATAGGTCAAAACGCCGACGATTGGTCCTGCAATCTTTCCCAGGAATCCTAATAGTGAGACTGAACGCCTTGCTCGTAGTTGGGTGGTCATCTTGGTTGGTAAGGTCTTTTTAGTATTTTCCAGTTCTTCGATCTGGACTCGAAACTGTTTTTGAAGTTCTGAGGCCATTTCCCATTTATCTTCCCAGTCATAGTATTCGACTAATTCGTTGCACCATTCTTCCTCAGGTTTACACTGCTGTTTTAGTCGCTGCAGCCTGCTCCTTAGGTCGTCAAAGAATCGAGTCTGCTTGCCTACGTCCAGGAATACGGCAATCCTCCAGTTGCTGACGGACCTCCTGACTTCTCCGATATATTCGAAATATATCCCGCTGCTGGACTTGAAAGGAGTGATCTGGTAACGATCACTGGAGGTAGTCATCTCCACATCGTGGGAATGGGTCTGCTTCGTTGTCATCACTAAGGTTAGGAAGAGGCATGTCAAAGTTAGATAATTGGTCATCATCGCTTGTTCGTCAATCTAAAATCAGAAAGAACAAGTTAATATGGGTTTAGAATTAAGTCAGGAATTTCACAATTGGGCAATCCTGACCTTATCCCTATGTTTTGCGAACCTCTCACCGTTTTTAGTTTCAAGGATCACATTGTTATTTTCTGTGAATCCTGCAAGAGTGTATGGTCCTTCTGCTCGCTTGTCGAACTTATTAGACCGGACTTCTTTAAAGACATACACCTGGTCGCCTATTTTGGCATTCAAAGGTCGTGCCTTACGATCATAGATTTCTTTTGACCGTTGTTTTGATCGAACTAAATATTTAGCAGCTAAATTTTGTAGTTCGTTCATCCGTGTAATTAAGTCCTTCAGATAGGATCCATACGTTTCGACTTCGGGTCCCTGAGGTAACGAACTAGGTGCTTTAGCTAAATGTCCAAACACGAGTTCGTATGGGGTAAAATTGGTTGCCTCATGAACGGACGTATTATAATTAAACATCGCGAACGGAAGCAAACGATCCCAATCGTCAAAATCCTTCGCATAATGTTTAATATAATCCGTCAGTTCGATGTGACTTCTCTCAAGTGCCCCGTTAGTTTGTGGGCGGTAACCAGACGTCGTAAGTTGCTTAACACCAAAGATTTTTTCCAACTTACGCATCAGGGTGCTAACAAAACTTGCTCCTCTATCCGTTAAAATGCAACGGGGTGCTCCAAACACTGAGAATAAGTTCGTAGCTACCGCATGGGCAATTGTTTTTGTTTCGATATTCGGAATGGGGACCGCGATACAGTATTTAGAGAAATTATCCTGCATTGTGAGGATGTGCCGATTTCCGTTTGGGGTGGTTCGCAATTTCCCGACGGTGTCTAAGGATACCTTGTCAAACGGCATTGCCGGAGTGTCAGTAATTATCATCGGTTCTCTTGTACGGGCCCTAGCGAGTTTGCTTTCGAAACAACTCTTGCATCCTCGAATAAATTGGGTAACGTCGTCACGCATTCGGGGCCAATAGTATCTTTCCCTTATTCGTCGGTAGGTCTTGCCTATACCCTTGTGTCCACCTATCAAACTAGAATGAAATTCGGAAACGATTTTACCGCGTAATTCAACAGGGGGTACTTCAATTTTTCCGTGGCACAGGGTGATGGTTGCGTCGCCACCGCGGAAAATTCCTGCGACGAGTTCCGACATTTTATTTTGAGGGAGTGTACCTAACAGGTCCCCGGAATTTGCCATTCGACAAGAATTTTGATTGTTAGATGCTAAGGCTTTTCTTAAATTTTTTAGTCCGATTATAACATCTTTCCAACAAATTTCATCAAAATGACGTCTCTTAACAATGATCGAAAAGACCTTGTATTTACCGTTAGGGGAGATAAAAATTTGTCCTTTGACGGGTCTACTGTCCCTGATGTCCTGTAAGTCGATATTTTCTGTAGCGACTAATAATTTCGAGATTGGATCGATCGGTTCGCAATCTTCAGAAAGGAAATGGGCATAGTTGTCTCGTCTGTACGTTAAAGGTTCTGTCCATTGGTTTGTTACACTACCAAGGGGCTTGCTGTTGTTTGGTTTCAATTCTTGGGGCTCACTGTCACAATCACGATCACTTTCACTGGATGTCCCGGAAGATGATGGAGGATCAAAATATGAATCCTTGAAGTTTAGGAACGAACAGCTAAGAGGCGCGCACTTCTTTGCTGCATCATTGTCTGTATCCTGTATTCGTCTAGGTTTCATGCCCTGGTTCCTCGCGGTGATTTCCTGGTTAGAGTTGATCCTTTCATCCTTGAATCCCGTGAATGGGGTGGATTGTGCACGTGGGATAGTTGATGGTCCTGGAGTAGATAGTTCGGTTTCCATCTCGAGTGTTTGATCATTTACAGAATGTTCAAAGACTTCTGGGATGTCCTTGAATCTTACCGTACTTTGTCTCCTTGGTTTGGTGGATTTACTAGTTAGAGGAGTTTCCTTTTGTGATCCTTCCACCGTGGTGGGCAATTCAGGTTGCTCACTTGAAAACTCTTCTGATTCGGTTAATTTTTTCGCTCTACTCCGGTTGAAGTCGTCCAGAAATTTCTTTACTCTTTTGGAGAGTTCGTCATCGGTTCCAACGGCAGGATCAAGAGTTTCTAAATAGTCCAGATGTTCTTGATCTTCTTCACCGTCAGAAACATATTGTCTTCGTGGACTGTGGTCTAGGCCTTCATAATCCCAAAGTAGAGTATTGTTTGTTGGATTAGAGAGGTTTAATCCAGCATTCGCAATCGATCGATCGAATCTATTGACAGATTCTGATACACTCTGGATCAGTTGTTTAGCGTTGGACGGTGATCGTTCTTCCGCTTTCTGATCATCCGATTCGCTGGTTTCGTTGTCGCTGTTATCAATTTTGCGTCGACCTTCGATGATCATTTCTTCTAGAGGTAACTCTTCAGGTTCCGATTCCGATGATGGCGATGAATCCGGTTCTGGGTTTTTCAGAGCCCCTTCTCTAGCAAGAC